CCAAAACCTGGCAATTCTAACAATCCAGAGCTGCCTTTTATTACAAAAGTATGTTAATATTGGGTATGAGTTCAGACCCAAAGTGGGCAGAGGGGATAATAGCTGGTGGCAGACTTGCCTGTGTGGGGTGTGAGGTTAAATGTGGACACAAGTCCTGTTACATTAGGCAGTAGCCATTCAAGAGGCTTTTGGATGAAAGAATTTGTTGTGCATTGATGGAACTATTGTTGCAAAGTCTGTATTAGGAAACTGGAAAAATGAAAGGCTATGTAGAGTTATTTGTACGTAAAGAAAGAACGCAGCAGGAAAGTCAGTTGGCCACTTCAGGATGCTGCTGATTGTTGTAAAGACCTTACTCTTTCTAATTCTGAGCAGTGTTTTTGTCTTCACTGGCTGATACAAGATGGTTGTCCACGCAGCTCACGAGCAATCTGTCTTGTAAAGTGTGACCATACCCAGAAACCAGAACAGACACAGAAAAATATACATCAGCTGTAATACAGAATTAGTGAAAAGTAAGGACTTTCAGTCAGTTTCTCTACAGATAAGTGTTATTAAAAATTTGTTGCTTTATTACAATAGAATTGGCATAAGTTGATCAAAATGCTACCGTTTAAAAGTGCCTGCCTAAGAGCTCCTGACCACAGAGTTCCTGTGTTTGGAGGCAATATGATGATGTGCCTTCTGCGTGTGGATTTACAGGGTAGGGCAGGGGGGTTCAGCTCCCAACTTTTAGTGGCACACTCGCAGCCTCAGTGCAGAGGGACTCTCCTTTGCCATTTCCCAGTCCACAGCCCAGATTTAGGGAGCCCAAGAGAAGCAGTCACGCTCTGTGTGATCCCAAGCAAAGCTGGTGCTCCAGATGGAGAGCTTTGGTGGGGTAAGGCCTCTCTCCAGCTTGGAACCTGCTGCTGTACACCACCCCACACAGCTTGCCTGGGCGGGAAAAGGGGAAGGAACTGAGCCCACTCATTACAGCAGGGCTGAGTCTGCCCTGGTGGGTGCATCAGCTAATGTGCTGTTACTTCTGGTGTGGTGCAGCGGCCAGGGAGGTCAGGGAGGTTGAGGAAGAGGCCCTCTATTTCAAGTGGCTGTGTGTTCTTTCAGTTAGACTTAACTTTTTAAATGAGAGGCCTCAGACATGGAATTCAGTAGGTGGAACAGAACAGTGAAGTGCCAGGATGGTGACTGTTCGGGTCTGAGTGCTATTGGCTCTTTGAGGGACTGTTGCAGTCAGCAGGGGGCTTGGCCTCTCTGGCTCCCGTACCTATGCTGTAAGTTCTCAGAACTTTTCTACTGAATTTTAATCGTATTAAATAACTTGTTTTAGCAAAGCACTGTTAAAAGTTCTTGTTCTTGCTGCAGGCTGCTGCTTCACTAGCCAAACTCAGCATCCATTTTGTCTGACATCTGCATTTGCAGCCCTGTCCTGAATGTCACTCAGCCCATTCTTTGCTGCTGCCTCCCCCTTCCCCACAGTCAGCGTGAGACACAAAGGGAAGCTTACAATAGACACACATGCTGGTGCAAGCACTGGAACAGGGACCAACCTGCAATACAGAGCACCTCTGAGGGAATGTTGTGCTTGCAAAACTGAGCTGGTGTGTTGTACAGAGTTCTTCACCGTGCCATTGGCACTTACCGGTGCACCCTGAGAGACACTCATGGCAATGGCCAGCCTGGATTTCACAGTGGTCTGTCAAACAACTGCAGAAATGGGGAAGGTCCAGGCCAGCAGACCAGTTTCTATTTAGCAGCTGAGGCTGTTACAGGACCATGCTATCCACATTCCTTATCTTCTGTCATATCATTTCTATGTGCTGCGCTACTTTAACCTGGGGCATGAAATCACATATTGGGAACCTCTTAGTATTTTTCTTTTTTAGGAGATTATATATAGACTTTGACAGTTAAGCCTGGTTCTTGTGATTTATTTTACTAAACACATGGCTTGAAATAGTTACACCAGAATTATTGACTTGTTTATTAACACATCTTAAATTTCAATGGCTAATGATTTTATCTTCCAAATAGTAACAACCTGCTACCTTAGGTGACAGAGGACATATTTTTTCTAGTATAGATGAAAGAGGGACTGAAAAGGGGAGATGAAATTTTTGTTAATAAGCCTGAATGCTATAATCCAGACTGGCTTTCCTCTAGTGACTACTGAGGAGGCACACAACTTATTTGTCATACACAAGATATTCTAAAGCCTTTTATTGGGATGACTACTGTCAGCAAGCTGACAAAGGGGTGACCATGCAGTGTAAAGTGACCATTATTCTCTCTGCTATTGCTCACACAGTTTTGAACATAACTTTTCTTTTTTTTTGAAGAAAAGAAATACTGATGAGAGATTCTCATGTTATTCTGTATTCACCACCAAACATTCCTGTGCATTAACTACACAAAGATAACTTGGTTTGTAGATGTTGCCATTGTGTCACAGTATCAGACAGTAGCAAGTTGCTATGAGTATTTAAGTTTTGTAGTGAATGATTTCTAAGCATCTCCTGCCCAGTATTTTGCTGTGTTCTGGATCATTGTACTTTAGATTTAGTAACTTCGTTATTTTTCAGATTGACTTTTTCTTCCTTAGGCCAAACATCCGTAACGTGGCATTTCCACTTGCATTTTCTTTCTCTCTCTGGGTCTGCTGCCACTGTCCTCTGGAGTTTGCAGATACACAGATAACTTAGTTCCTTTTTTCTGATCACTGCAGTGACACAGGACTCAAATAATGCAAGCCCAGAACGCTGGAAGTGACACATTTTCAAGTGACCAAGAATGTGCCTTAGGTGTACAGCTGTTTCACATGCAAAGACATGACTCAGATCCAGCCTTTTTAGACAAAACCCCTTTGTTGTATTGAGAACACATGTAACAATAGCCTGGGGGATGAGAATAATAGAACCTTTTTTGTTTTGTGAAGGGAGGTGGGAAGGGAATCTGAAGATAAGGAAATTGAAAATTAAAATTATATGTAAAGTCTGGGGGTTTTTTGCTGCCACATAGGGTACAAAAACATTTCTTTAAGATTTCCTTATTGCACACTCTTTCAATAACAACTCCATGTGTGACAGTAACATAAATATCATGCAAGCTGAGCGACTGTAATCTGAAAAATGTTAATAACAACTGATTAAGATCTCTTTATTCCCCCTGCTAAATACTGATATTGTATTTGGAGGCGTTAAAACAGAAAATGGAAAGGAAATTTGAAATCAGGGATTACAACCCTGCAGAAAAGCTCTGTGTGGGCAGGTTTCATTGCATTCTATTCACAGTTATGGCAGAAATTGTCTATGCAAGACAGTTTTTAACTACATGGAACTGTATGGATGACAGACACTCCAGGGCATCATTATTCAATTGAAGAGATGGCAGTAGAGTAAACAGATTTTTAAGCTTCTGGATTGTAGCCCTCTGCTTAGCCTAGTGAACCACTCACGTCACTTTACAAAGAGTGCACTGGATCCTGTGGAACAACAACCTAATGTCACAAGATCCAGAGTAAATAGCGCTTTTCTAAGCAAACATTATCTAGCCTTTCCAGGCACAAACCCATTTGTCATCAGTGAGGCCAGCTAGCAAGCCAAGGTCTCAATATCTAAGCCAAGACTATCTGGAATACCTAATGTCAGAACCACAAGTATTAAAACGATTTGAAAAGTTGCATATCTGGGACTTTTTGCACTACTGTACTTCATTAACACCATATATTTCAGAAATCTATTTCAGTAGCAATGGAAACTTTAAACGGAAGAGACAAGTGGCTCAGTATGCTGAACTAAACTTCATTATATAGGACATGATCCATTCGTGTGAGTGGTATGTTTGCCTTGATAAATCGGCTTCGTTTGAAATGTATTGGCTTTCTTTTTGCAGGAGGAAAGGAAGTCAAGTGAAGTTACCACACTCTGTGGCGTGAAGAAGCAACATGATGTTCAGGAACAATGAGCGGCCTTAAAGGAACTGGAAAGAAACTGCTTTTAGCAGGAAGGGGAACTGTTAATTGATACACACAACAGAGAGGCTGTGAAGGCGACTGACACATGGTAGGCAAGATTTCTCATTAACTTCTGCCCTTCCACTGAGATTTGCCAGGATGTAGCATTGTACGCTCACCATTCATGCAAAATTCCCATTTGCTGAAGTAATGGGGAGATCATTGTCCTTCCCGTAGATTTGTAGGTAATACACGTTGTGGTTGGTTGGTTGGTTTGGAACAAACAACTAAACATCCCCTAGGTATTTTCTGATCTAAATTTAATGGGTTTTTAGCGCCTTGAGAATCGGTAAGTGAAGTTGATGAGGAAGTAAATCCATGTACTTTCAAAACTGGAATAACTGGAAAAATGAACAGACTAAAATAGACAAGACTAATGATATAGCATGATTACTAGCGTAGGGATGTTAAGATATGCATAATATGATCGTACTCTTTGTGGACAAGAATGTGCTACGCCTCGCCCTGTGTTCTTTAAAGGCAGCAGGAATGCTGCTGCTGATTTCAGTGGGTGGAGACAGCCCGCTGCATGCAAAAGTTGTTTCATTACCGGTTACATTGCACCTTGCTTTTCTTTGACTACTTCTTTTAAGCCTTAGAAAAACACGTCCTTTTAAACGTTCTAGTTACCGTGCAATTATTCCTAACACCGACTCTTGAAAAGAGGATGTATTACAGAAGTCATTGGCAAGGCAGTAAGCTGCTATAATGAAGTCTTCCCTGCTGATTTCCAAAAAGGAAAGGTGGTCACTGATAAGCCCTTTCCTCCTTGCCAGGCAGTGGCTGCCCCTGTCCTCCGTCTGAGGGCAGTGCGGGGTGTGCGGCAGCAGCTTTGCGGGGCGCTACGGATGCAGACGCGGCCGGGGAGCGCCAGGCGAGCGGGGGCGGTGGGACTGCGCTGCGGCCCGAGCTGGGAGCGCTGCGGGAGCGCTCGGGGGAGGTCTCGCCAGCGGCCCCGCGGCTCGGCCTGGCGGGGTCGGGCGGACAGGAGACCCCCTTTCGCCGCCAGACCCGCATCCCGGCGGAGGCGCGGCCAGCGCCGTCCCTGCCGGGGCAGGGGAGCGGCCGCAGGGGCGGGACGCGCCGTGCCATTGGCCGCCGGCCGCGGTCTGATAGCGAAAGCCCGGCCCGGGTTGGCGGCGCCGGGCCGAGGGCGAAGCCATCGCCTTGGTAACCCCGGCGGGGCGCAGCGGCCGGTGCCGGCCGAGGGAGCGCTCCCCGCTGGCGCCAGCGCCGCCGCGCTGGCTGGGCTGGGGCGGCGCGGACGGGACGGGACACGGCGGGGCCGCGGCGCGGGCAGGTGGGTGTGCGGGACGAGCGCTGTGCCGTGCGGACAGGTGGGTGTGCGGGACGAGCGCTGCGCTGTGCCGCGGGTGCACGCCGGGGACGCGGAGCGGGACGGGCGGGCGGTGCAGGCTGTGCCGGGGCTTCCCCTCGGCCGCCGCCGCCGGCTCCTGGCGGTGCCCGCCCGCCCCGCTCCGCAGGAAGAGGCGCTGCTCCAGTTGCGACACGGAGGTTGCTCAACCGCGCGGGGGAAGTTTCGGCGGGACGCGGCCGTTTGGCAGCGGAAAGGGGCCCGGGCCGGGCGGCGGCTCCGCTCGGCTCGGCGGGCGCCTTTGTGCGCGGCCCTGAGAGAGCGCGGCGGGAACGGCCCCGCAACAAGTGCGCGGCGCTCCCCGGCCCGTCCGCTCTGAGCTCAGCCGGGCAGGGCCGCGGCTCCGGCGGCATCGGAGCCCACGGTGCGACCCAGGGACCCCTCCCGGTGCGGGGCAGCGCTGGGAGCCCGTGTTCCCTCCGCTGCCCCGGGGCTCGGCGGCGCTCGGACGGGCTCGGCCGTCCCTGAGTGTGCGGCGCCTGCTTCCCCCAGAGCGTTCCCGGACGAGCTTTGCGCTCTGCCTGCTGATTTTTTTTTCAATGTTTTATATATATATATATTTTTTTTTCCCCAGCTGAGAGCTCTCTGTGGTCGCTCAGTGAATTTTAAGTGGCGTTTAGGTGTCTCGATGCTCCTAGTTGTTTCCAGTCGGGTTTCTGAGCGTTGTTTTCCTTCCGAACCGCAGGAATTTGTATGGCAAAGCAGTATTTCGGAAATGTGTTTCCAGTCAGATGCCCACGCTCTGTGCAGCCCGGCGCGGTACTTTGGCAGCGTACAGGCATCCTGTGCTCTTTTAACAGACAACTAAACTATTCGGCAGACGGGGAGCTCTTTCTGTGAAAGGGGGGCATAAATCTTCATTAGTCCCAAAGAGTTCCTGAAAGAGAAACGGAAACCTTTCATGCCAGATTCGCTGGTTGTCTAGCTCCAACACGTGTGTGGTTGGACTCATGTTGGATACCTTCCAAAATCCAGAAAGCTTAGTTTTTATTGGTCTGGTTTGTTTTTTTTTTTTTTTCCCCCAGGACTTTATGCATTGACAGTCTTTTCTTGTATGTATTCTTGTCAGCAGACACATTGGTGAGGTTTTTCTTCGTTTGGAATTGATAATTGTAGCCGTAACTGTAAATGTTATGTACTCTCTAAGTCCATATTGCTGTTACTCTGATACTGAAGTTTATTCGGGCTTAAGTTACTGAAGCTGGGCATTACTAGAAACCCCAGCAACACATTATTTATGTTTTCCTGACTGTAATTTAGGATTTGAAGTTAGATGACATGAAGGATGTCATGGAAATTTGACTGGCCTGTGGTTTACACTATTAGCTAGAGATTCCCACAGCTGTACATCTTCAGAATTAAAAGGTGAAATAAAATTTTATAACTTGTTTGCTTCTAGGAAAATTGCATCTAAAGGAATATTGAATATCCATATGCTTGGCAAAGGGTTGTGAAGTCTAGTGGAATGCATTAAGGTGACTGGGGAATCAATCACCAGGTCACTTGGAAACTTTGATCTAGAAACTTCAGTTCAGACTGATGGTGGTTTTTCAGGCTATGAAAGTTTCATTCCAGCAAGCAGTGCTTTTCAAAAGAGTGGGGAATCAGAAAAAGATCATTGAACCGAAATTTGTGGGTAACTGTTTTACTGACCTTTTTTAGAGTGTCAGGCATATTGGTAACATCAAGAATGTTTTGGTGTGGATTTATTTGAAAACATGCTTGGGTCTGGTTTTTAACATTGATTAAACTTTTTTTGCGTGGTCTTAAAATATATTTGTTGATTGTCTATTTAAATATCTGTTATTCTTGAGTAAAAATCACTTCTGTTAAGTCAGGTTTAATTTCCCTGGAATATCTGATGTCATAAGTTCTCTGGTTCTCCAATTGTCTGTGGACTTTTGGCAGAACTCCAATTTCTAGTGTAGGAAAGCCTTCTTAAAAAAAATAAAAAAACCTTTCTTTGGTTTTTGTGATGGAGTAAAGAGAGAATATGTCCTGCTCCACTGCTCCTTTCCCTTTAGTAAGTTTGCATATGTCTGCAATGTGCTCTCTTTTGCAAGTAATTTAAAACCAAAGTCCAGTGGAAATACAAGCTGTTAGATTGCTATATATACCACGAGGAGGGGTCAGGAAAAATACTGTTATTGTTTAGAATTTGGGTGGAAATGCAGGCTGGTGTTTTGGCTGGTTAGCTAGAAAGCTGGTATTGTGTTTCAGTGACAGAGGCACAGAGTTCAAGCAGCTTAAGTGCTTTTTCACAGATCTGGAGATACACGTGGAAGTTTTGCCCTTGGATCTTTAAAAGTTGCCACTGGTTATCTCAAAATAAATAACTGGGGTTGCTGGGCTGTAGAATGTGGCATTGTATTTATTCAAAGTCCACGGGGCTGCTTTGGTTAGAGGAGGGTTTTCTGATTTTCCACTCTCGGGAGCAGCAGACCGTTAAGTTACAAAGTTTGTCCCTTTGCACAAGTGGCAGTTTCTGTGAAAACAGTCCCGGAGAGAAGAGTCTGAAACGAGCATCATGCACACAGTTGCATAGAGACGCTTGCTTGTTTGTTTTGGGTTTTCTTTTTTGGGGGTTATTCTTTGTAAATGTGTGTTTTTACTCAAATTGTTACCCCTGGGTAAGACACGTTGTGTTACACTCATCTCAAATCCTGTGCCTCAGATTATGAGGACTTTGGTGAGGTGCACAACTAGGGTCCAGAATGAACTGCAGATAACCAGGTGGTGGTTCTTTGAAAATTCAAGAGTTGGAGATGCTGCAAAGTGAAGGTTACACGTATCTGTAGAATTCCTGAAGTACCAGGTACTTTATAAACAACATAGACCAATCGGTGTTACAGTCTGTCAAATTTACATGTGTAGATCTTTTAATCTCAACCCTTGGTGGAAATAAATTCAGGAATGTGGTTTCATTTGCCTACATTAAGAGTTGCAGAAGAGGCCCTGATGTGCAAATGCTTGTGGATTTCTAGCTACCAACATAATTGAATTTACATACTGGCTTCAGAAGATTAAAGAAACAAAGAGTGACACTGACGAGTCAAGAAAAGCTTCCTTTGAGGGGCGGGATCGGGGCAGTTCTGCTCCCCTGCTGATAATTTGTGTGTGTGTACATTGTTACTTGGTTTGGCTTTACCAATTTTAGGTAGCCCGAGTGTAATTTCTACTGTGCTACAGAGACAGCCTGTCAGAAAACCGGCTGTGCACAAATAGAGGATCTGGGCTGTCCTCGGGTACCTTCTTCGTTACTTCCACTTCACAGCTTTGGCTGTTACCTGGGGTGGGGGGATGGGGCAGGTGGGGGCAACTTTTTCAGTTGCATTAAAAAGGGAGGAGGGCAGCTGTGAGAACCTCAAATATTTAGTTTCTTACCTTATGTACTCTTGACTAAAAATTGTTCAGTAGTTGAACTCAAGAGGAACTTCTTGTCTTTACGTACTACATATGTAAATGTATTTACTGCTGAAAGAGCGTAAGAATTAGCAGTACTGTAATTTTTCTCTCAGTGCAAAATACACTTAATATAAATTTGCTACTCACAACTTACTTTAGTTTCTTTCAAAATTTTTCAACTTGCCTATTTTTGATAAGCAGTATTGCATTAACATTTTACTATGGAACTGGATTGTAAAGGGTGCCCTTCTACTTCTAGAACATCTTGCTGTTAGCTGTAGTAGTTGCTCTGATTTTTTAGAACAGCTTTGTGAATTTGTCAAGGTATCTTAAAAGAATTCCATCAGATATACTGATGTTTGATTTTATGCTTGTGTAGCTTAGCTCAACGTGTTGCTGCAACGCTGAAGAGTTTTACTTCCCATATTAGGTTGGTAAATGATCTTTTACTAATTCACCAGTGGCTGTATGAAAACACTTTTTTTCCTGTGTTCCAGAAACTATGATGATTGAATGGGAAAGATATACCCTGTAATGGAAACAAGTCTGTGCCATGGGTGTGATTTTTGTGCCCGTGTGTGACGTTTTCTTTCCTCTTTGCAAGGATCTACTTGTAAGAGGTGACAAGGTGACAGTGACTGACATGTTCTCGTGACTCTCTTTTGGTGTTCACTTCTGGGGACCACCAAAGATTTAGGCTTAAGAGTCTAAACTTCTTTTCACTATGTTCTTCCCAGGCTTTTTCCTCGATTTCTTGTACCCAGAGCAGAAGGCAGAGGCTTTTGTTCGTGTGTTAATTGGGAACTAATGGACATTTAAGGTGATGTGTAGTCCATTAGGAGGTGCAGTGTTCACTCTCACTTTGAGTTCTTCCTGTCCTCTCCTTGACCCCAGGCACGATATATCCTCTGGAATTAAAAAAAAAGCCACAACCCTATGAGAGGATTTAAAGTTGAGTTAGAAGATGTTAGCTTTGAGTTGGCATCAGCTGGCAGCAATTTTGGCACAGCTTGTGTGGCTGGTAGAGGTAGATAAACAGTTTTGTGGAAGTCATGTGAGTGTCTGTGGTTGGTGTTGTCAGTTCATAAGAATTCTTAAGAATATTGGTGTGTCTTTAGGTTTATGGTACCGTGCTGCTGTGAAGCATTTGCTAATTCTTAGTGTTTCTGAAAGTCCTTTGCTGTCTGCAGGCACAGGAGGCGTCTGTAACAGAGTAGTGAAATACTTGTTTATGAAAGCTGTTGTGTGGAATGTGCAATAGCTGGTGTTCTGTGTCATTAACCTGACATTTTAAGAGGCTCAGAGTCCTGCTGTCAAGTGGGTTTGTGACAGGTTTAATGTGGAAGACGTGTTTGCATGCAGCTAGAGTACTAGAACCAGCTGAAAAGTCAGAGTAGGTAGATGGTTTGGAGAATATTGTAAAAATACTGTAAAAAAAACAAAACACACACACCATTTTTTAGTGCTAGAGGTTCTTATGGGAGCCACCAATTGAGCAATAACTTTTTTAACTTTTGTAA